AACATGAGAACCCATATGCACAAGATACTCACTGCGGCATGATCATTTAACACTGCTGGAAACAGCCTGAATGCCTCTGTAAGAGAGAGCGGATCATTAATGAACTGTGACACCCACAGTGTTACTCGAGGGCATACAAGAAAGCAAATGATCTCCATGAACTGACGAGTGACTTCCTCTGAGCTTGTGGCCGTGGTGCAGTGACAGAAGACTAACACACTGAGGTTAGTGGGGAGATCGTGGACAAATCTCAGGCGTCCCCAACCCTGAGGGGCCACCGCCAGCCCTGGTGAGAAAACAAGGATGAGGTGGCTTGCGCACTCCTGTTCTCCAAAATCCTGAGTCCCTGCTTCAGCAGGGAGGAGCCAGCCAATCAGCACTGCATGCCGGAAACACTGACGGGGATGCTCCGTGGGCGCCGACCGGGCAGAGCTGCCCCCACGGCCGCGAGGGCCAGACACCTGAGCCACATGCAGGGTGAGCGTGGCTGCCCTTGGCCTTGGAGCGGTGCATAAGAGCAGGGCGGCAGCACAGATGGGGCGAGAGTGTGAGCACGGCTTACAGTGCACGGAGAGGTCAAGGGGGAAACGAAGAACTGCCGCAAGGAAAACAAGCCAACCAGAGGACGCAGAGAGAAAGCTCAGTATAAATTCTGGGAATGAAAAGTGCAGTGACTGGTTGGTTTTGTCAGCTGGCATTGTGCCCACTCCCACCTCCTGGTTGGCCTTGCTCTGCTTAGTCAGGGAGCTTGCCAGCTCTTCACACTGAGGACTGGAGGGGACTAGGGTTCCACCCTTCAGGTGCACTTGTGTGAGGCTGAGATTATAGAAGCAACATTTTGTGCTGCTTTGGCTGTCAGACGGCGGTGGCAGTGATGCTGGGACTGGCCTCTGTGCTTCAGTGTCCGAGCACTTGGGGCAGCAGTGGGGGCGGTTTCATCGCCTGCTTTCTGATCCCAGACCACAGCTAAGGCAATGTGTCCTTGAGGCTGGCAGTCCCAGTGTCAGCCCCTCTGTCACCTGGTTGTGGCCGAGGCAGAACATCTTGCAAAGGTTCAGGGTTGCCGCTGAGTGGACGTGAGAGTCCCAAGTAAGTCTGTGGTTTGCCCAGCCCTTCTTGACTGGAGGACACTCCTTTTACAAGACGTTATGGTCTTTCCCAGACATCTGCTTCTGGACCAGTGGTTCCAAATTTTTGAGAGGTGCTATACATACACTGAGTACAAATGGGGTTGGAAGGGCAGCGGCACCAGTATCCTGAACTTCCCCAGGTCTTAGTTCTCTAATCTTTAAAATGGGATGGGTGACGCCATTTACCTCAAAGCATTGCTGTGAGGGCTGAATTAAACTGTTACGCGCTCCCTATATATAGTGCTTGCTACATGGCATTTATATATATAAACATTTACTGATGCCTGTATACCGTTTTCCTCAATTTACTGTGGGGTTATGGCCTGAAACCTGTTGTAAGTTGAAAATATTGTAAGTTAAAAATACATTTAATACACCCAACCTGAATATTACAGCTTAGCCTCGCCGACCTTAAACGTGCTCAGACCGCTGGTGTTAGCCTGCAGTTGGGCAAAATCATCTAACACAAAGCCTATTTGATAGTAAAGGATGGACTCTCATGTCATTTATTGAATACTGTACTGAAGGTGAAAAAATAGAATGGTTATAAGCGTATACATTGTCTGCTCTCGTGTTTCGTGGCTGACTGAGGCTGCAGCTGGAAGGCTGAACGTTGGCGTGACTCAGCCTTTCTTCAGTCTGACGCTTTGTGACTGGAGCTGTTCAGAAACTGTGTAGGTTTAAGGTAAGGACATGAATGTGGGTTTCTGTTTGGCTGCCTGCAGGATTGTGGTAACTTCTTTGGGGTTTGCTTTCCTCATTTATGAGTTGGATAATAACTCCACATGTCTTATTACCCTAAAGTTCTGCAGCAAACGACAGATAACTTAAAACAGAATAAAAACATGATTTTATATTAAAGAAACTCAGGATTATTATGGAGAAAAATTCAAAATCAGCCTGAAATGTTCAAATATGAAAATGGGTTTCAAAAGAATTTATTATGGTGTGGCCTGTCTTGGCTCTGTCCCAAACACTACAGTTAGTCATTCATTCCCTTTTGCTGATTGGAATATGGCAGTAGGAAAATTCAGGAAGTCTTGGGCTGCAGAATTGGCTTTCCCCACCCTGAAGCACGGATCTAGGGCACACATGGCCTGCTCTGCCCACTCTGTGGAAGGACACTTTCCCTTAGAAGGTCCAGAAGCTTGTCTGAAGCAGGAGTTTGTCCCTATGCCAGATCTAGAACCCAGAGTTTCTATCCCTGAATATAATTTTGTTTTCATCTGGCCTCTTGGCTTCTGTGGTGTCATGAGCACGTCTCTTCTGTCTGATGCTGCTTTCTCTAAGGAATTTATCACCTTGATTCCACCAAAGGGCTGGAGTCAGGGAGCATTTCCTTGCAGGCCTTGTGTCTCATAGGAGGACATTTTAGAGTCACATAGGTGTGACTTCAAATACCAACTCAACTGCTCATGTACTAGCTTTGTGTTTTTCAGCAAGTCACTTCACTTTTCTACATCTCTGTCTTACCTTTCTTTTCTACAAAGACAATATAATCTGACTGCAGGGTTATTTTGAGGAATTATGGTTACTAGTATTAAAGGAAGAGGTGAGTTAGGCATAGAGAGTGAATCTCACACTCCGAGAATCAAAGCCCAGGAAATTGGTGTTCTGTTGACATAATGGGCAGAAGGGAAAAAAGACAGGAGGACTTGTTGCTGCACACCTTTTCTACACCAAGTTTTTGAATCCTAAGGATATACTGCTATTCAAAATATTAAAGGCTTTAAATAGAAAATGGAAAAATTAAGAAGTACCAGGTAAACAATATTTAGAGGAGAATTACTTTGGGCTAAAAAAAAAGAAAAAGACATGAGATTGTTTAAACATACCCTGTTAAGTTCCTAAATTCTAAGGATAAAGAAACTCTTGGCAAATGCTGGGACGGGAGCAGTTAATTGTGGGAGACGGAATTCTGGCCCCCAGAGGTGTCTTCATCCTAATCCCAGGAACCTGTGGGTGTGTTCTGTCACACGGCGAGGGGGAACTAAGGCTTGTTAACCAGCTGACCTTGAGACAAGGTTATCGTGGTTTGTCCAGGGGAGCCCAGTATAGTCATAATGGCCCTTAAAGGTGAAAGAGGGAGGCAGAAGAGTCAGTTTCAGAATGATGAAATGTGAGACTCAACTGGCTGTTGCTGGCTTTGAGGATGAAAAGGGGCCACGCCAAGGAGTGGGGGCGCCCCTGGAAGCTGGAAAGGCTGGGAAACAGACTCTCCTGCAGAGCCTCCAGAAGAGAACCCAGCCCTGTCAACACCTTGGGTTTGACCCAGTGAGATCTGTTTCAGGCTTCGGACCTCCAGATAATAAACTTTGTTGTCTTAAGCCACTAAGTTTTGATAATTTATTAAGAGCAGCAACAGGAAATGAATACATCCCTATCAGCTAAGAGAAACAGACCAGCATTGGGGTCCTCTACTGGGAGACCAGAAGCCAGAACCCAATGAACGGACATCTCCGGGTTTTTGAGAAGAAACCATAATCCAAGAATGTTCTGCCAACCAAAAACATAATCTATGAAGTTCCAAGAAATTTTTTGGTCATATAAGGATTTAGAGAAAACCAGCTATATTTATTCAGATAAATAAAAATGCTCAGTAAAATAGCCTAACCAATTAGCTTTTGAAATAAAACTGTTACCTTAAAAGACGGGCAAACAGTGAGCCAGCAATGAATGTTACTCTGAGTACTGTATTTCAGTTTAAGTGGAAATCTTGAGTGGGTCTGGCAGTGAGGAGTGGAGGCATCAAATAAGAGTAAAACTAAAAGCTGTGGAGGGTGAGTTTTCATTAGGTCAGTGAAATGGAGGAAATGTTAAAGGACAGGCTGTGAAGGAGGGGACAGAGAAAGCGAGGGTGGTCTCTTCTTGGAGGAGAGCAGCAAAGAAAATTAATGATGGGCGAGAAAGTGTTAACAGTGTGCTCATTCTGCCCAAAAGATGATTCAGAATGGGGAGACAACCACCTTAAGCACAGAGGGAAGTTCCAATTGAGCAAGAGGACCAGCCAACATAAGGAAAGGAGACTAGGATCAAATAAACAGTACAGTGTAAAACGAAAAGAATAAAGTTAATACACTAAATAAAAATGTGAGTTTCCCTACAGAAGAAGATTCCTATTTTGAGTTACTAAAAAATCAGCTTTTTGAAGAAATAACTAAAATGACAGGGGTTGAAAATAAATGGATGGGCAAAAACATGGTAGGTAAACAAGGATAGATCATTATTATTAGTATTACAAAGAACGGAAATAAAATACCAAAAGGGTTACAAGAGGCTAGGGTTGCCAAACTTCTCATCTAGAGGGTCAGACAGGAAATAAAATAGGCATTATGGCCACAGTCCTTGCAACCACTCTGCTCTACTGTTGTAGACAGTGTGTAAATAAGTGAACATGGATGTGTTCCAATAAAACTTTTATTTATAAAACAGGCAGCAGGCTAGGTTTGGTTTGTCCACCCCTACACCTGGCAGAGCAGGACATTATATAATGAAGAAAGTATGATTCATAAATAGGGGTTAAGTCATATCTTTATAGGCCATAGAAAGTAAAAGTCTCTGGAAATTCAAGATTTTGGTTAAAAAGCCCAATCTTAGGCGATTCTGATCCAATATAGCAAGTTATATAAGAATGTGGAGAATTTTATAATTAAAATCTATAAGCTTAAACAGAATTTTGTATCCAAAAAAGTATATTCTTTTTCAATGTCATGGAACATATACAAAACCAATCCTGTACTTAGCCACAAAGAAAAATGTCAAATTTTAAAAAGTAGGTATTTTCAGGCCACATTTACCAATCACAATAAAATAAAAATTGAAGTTATTTAGGATGTTTTTGGCTGCAAGTTTATAAAAATTCAGCTAAAATTAACTTCAGCAATAAAGGTTTATTTTCCCTTACATAACAAGGCATCAAAGAGACAGTTCCAAATTGGCCTCATAGCTCAGTGTGCTTAGGGCTCTGGGTCAGCTTCTTTGAGGTCCTCTCTTTTCTCCTCTTGGTTTCAAGACGGCTGCAACAGCTCCAGGCATCATGTTCTCAGAGGAAGATGTTTAAAAGCAAGAAATGAGGGGAGGGAGTCTTCCTAATGTGTCTGTCTCTTCTGAATGGGGAAGCTCTTTCCCAGAAGCCACTGTAGATCCCCAGAACATCCTGGCCATACACTGGAACATAAGGGCCATCTTGAGCTGCAAAAGAGGCTGAAAAAGCATCTGACATCTTCAGATTCTAAGGCAAGACAGATGCTGCCAACAGGAATGGGAATTGGGTATGGCTGCCAGGCAGGCAACCAACCACTTCTGTCTGTGACAAAAGTTTTAAAAGATAACCCAAAACAAAAATCCTGGAAATTGAGTCTCCTAAATGTAGTTTACTCTTGAATCAGGGAGAAATAAAAACTGAAGTTTCTGTAGGATAAACCACTTTCTATTTCATCATATTCTGTTTTTATTTTCTATTGATTTATTCATCATCAGGGTGTTTGGTATTCTCTCTTCTGGCTTCTTAAATAGTACCTTTAGTATATTTTAGTACAGTCCTTCAGTTTTTCCAGTTTTGCATGCACTTAAAAGCCATAAAAACTCCTATGAGCAGCTCCAGCCACATCCCACATTTCTGGGCATGTAAAACTCTCAGTGTCGGCCTTACCGTTCACAGTAATTGCATGATTTATTTCCTTGCTAACTCAAGAAAAAAAATTTTTTTTTATTTTCCAATAAAATTCAAACTTTTGGCTATTGTTAAAATGATTACACTGTGGTTAGGAAACGTGATTCTGGAGTGTTAGAGACAAAATTTTTTACCTCACCTTTCCTTCTTTGACAATCATGGTCTAAACAGTTTGCATCCGTAGACTTTTTCTTCAATATGGATGTTATGACTCAGAGTAAAGGACAGCTCTGAATAAGGGAATTCTCACTTGCATTATATGCAAGTCTCTCTCCAAGATAAAAAGAGGAAGTTGTGGCTAAGCTAATGGACTCTACCCATTATTTCCATTCATATGGCTGCTCGCTAACATAAATTCTCTGATGATCAGTAAGGGGTAAGTGCTGATGGAAGGTTTTTCTACATTTATTAAACTCACCGGTGTTTCTCTATTATGCATTCTCTGATGCTGAACAGCACTTGAGTCATGACGTAAAGTCCTCCCACATCCCTTATATCCATAGGGTTTTTCCTCCGTATGAGTTACTTGATGGTGAATCAGTTGCGAGCAGTGACTGAAGGCTTTCCCACATTCCTTACATTCGTAGGGTTTCTCACCGGTGTGAATTCTGTAATGTACAGTAAGATGTGAAACCCGTTTGAAAGCCCTGCCACATACCTTACATTGGTAGGGTTTCTCTCCAGTGTGAATTCTCTGATGCTGCTTAAGTTGTGAGCTCACCCTGAAGGCTTTCCCACATGCCTTACATGCATAGGGCTTCTCACCAGTATGAATTCTTTGATGTCGTATAAGGGTTGAGCCTTGATTAAAGGCCCTCCCACATTCTTTACATTCATAGAGCTTCTTGCCAGTGTGAATGGTCTGATGTTGAATCAGTTGAGACCGATGACTAAAGGTCTTCCCGCATTCCTTGCATGCATAGGGCTTCTCCCCGGTGTGAATTCTGTAATGTACTTTAAGATGTGAGATCCGATTGAAGGCCTTGCCACATTCCTTACACTGATAGGGTTTCTCGCCAGTATGGATTCGTTGATGTTCAATCAACTGTGAGCTTCGACTAAAGGCCTTTGCACAGTCCTTACATTCATAAGGCTTCTCACCAGTGTGAACTCGCTGATGTTGTATGAAATTTGAACCAGAATTGAAGGCCTTTCCACATTCCTTACATTCATATGGTTTCTTGCCAGAATGAATATTCTCATGTTGAATTAGCCGGGAGCCATATTTAAAGGCCTTCCCACATTCCTTACATTTATAGGGTTTCTCGTTAGTATGAATCCCTTGAGGACTAATGAAGTCCTCCTGCCAGACGTCTTCTGTACATTCATTATATCCATAGGGGTCTGTTCCAGTATGAATTTTCTGATAAAAAGTAAGGGAGGCTTGCTGGTCGAAAGTGGACATTTCTTCATTACCAATGATCATTTGACTCAAATGTCCACCTGGATCCCCCTCCTGCCTGTCAAACTGACTTCTGCGTTCCCAATCATCTCGGAAACACGAGCACTCGAGACCGTAACTTGTCAGGCTTTGCGGTATCTCCCACCGGGGTGACTGTACTTCACAAATGTGCCGCTCTGGAGACGATACCTGAGTATCATTCCTGGACTCCGATACTGTAAAAGAACAAAGCAAGTGTGTGTTTTTCCCTTTTCCAGAAAGAGGAACTAATACAGTAAAAATGGGAGAGTTTACACTCAGTATCTGTAAGCTCTTGAATGTGACTAAGCAGTTAGAAAACAGAGAAGCACAACAGTGAAAGAGGAGATACCGTCAACGGAGATGAACGAGCTAATCAGAGGGAGAGGGTAAGAGCAGTTGGAAAATGTCAGTGTGGCTCAGAATCGCCTCTGAGCCACACTTTTTAAAAAATGAATGTTTCTGTAAGACCCTAGAAAACACACATTATGACCTAGAGTGACAGAGCAAGTCATCTGTTGCCTGGGATGAGGGTGTGAGTGGTGTGTGGGCAGGCACGCAAGGGAGCTTTCCAGAGGGTGAAAATGTTCTCAATCTTGTCTGTGGTGGTGGTGATGATGTAAATGCGTTCGTTTGTCAACTCAATTAAAATACTATACTTAAAATGCACGCATATAATTGAATATAAATTACACCTCAATATAGTGGATTTTTAAAAAATGATGGAGGGGGTGGCTGGATACTTCTCTGGCCAGAGGACCAGGCTGGCGCATCTGCTTGACAGGGGCCGTGGTGGTACGAGGGGCTGCTTTCACATGTCCACTGGAAGCTGTAACAGCTGTGGTCTCCTGCTATAATGCTTTCTGTCTCTGAAGTTTAGCTAAACACCATGGCTGAAGCTAATGTCAACTGGGCCAGTCTCTCCTGGACCTTTCCATTGCCTAACAGTGACCTTGGAAAAAGGAGGGCTTTGTTTAGAAGATCAGGCCCAAATGTAACGGGGGTGGCCTCTTTCAGAGCCACAGTCTTTGCTGATTATTTGAACTTCAGGGAAAGGCTGAATGGTGTATTTGATCTTGATTCTATCTGATACATGATTTCAGCTACAGTGGCCTGTTTTTACTGCCATCACAGAAATCAATCACATTTGACTAATAAATTGGTTGCAGCTTCACACAAGGAAATATGGGGAAAAGCGACTTTTGAATGGGTGCTTTTGAATGTATTCATAAAGCGTATTAGACAGGAGGCCAAAGAGGACTTTATAGGGGCATGGCTGCTTCCCATGGGAGCCTATCAGAGACCACTATTCGCTTGGTTATTTGTGAAATTATTAAGCAAAAAACTACTGGACCAAAGGATTACTCTGACAGTGGAAGATGATGAAGAGTCTGTGGAATAAATATCAGATTTTGTGGGAAATGATGCTGGTGTCACCTCAGAAACATGCACCACAACCACAGTGCACCATCCACAGGAGGTCGTGAGAACAAGACCATGTCAAGAGGGCCTAAAGGAGAGAGATTTTTTCAGATACCACGTCTGGTTGTTCACAAGGAAGGCCATTCTGACACCATCTTTCTGCAGATCTCACAGATTAAGGGCTCAGTCTCACAAGAGTGCCCCTACCAGCCTTGCCCCCTTAATAAACTGGAGCTTCTTGCAACCCCCTCTGGGGGGTTAATCATTTGCTAGATGACTCACAGAATTTAGGAAAACAGTTTACTTATCATACTACTGGCTTATTACAGAGGATGTAACTCAGGAAGGGATGGGTGGGAGAGATGCCTGGTGCAGGATGTGGGGAAAGGATGTGAAGCTTCCATGCCGTCTCCGGGCTCTCCACTCCCCCAGCACTTCCATGTGTTCAACCACCTGGAAGTCTCTGAACCCCATCCTTTAGGGATTTTTATGGAAGCCTCATTATGTAGGCAAACCATTGGCCACGGGTGATTAACTCAACTCCAGCCCCTCTCCCCTCCCTGAAGGCTGAAAGTTCCAAGCTTCTAATCGAGTAACTGGTTCCCCTCTCAACCAGCCCCCATCCTGAAGCGATCCAGGAGACCCCAGCCACCAGTCATTTAGTTAGCATATAAGAGGACAGTTATGAGAAGACACTGATGAACTCATCTACAAAACAGAAACAGACTCACAGACATAGCAAATAAACTTACGGTTACCAGAGAGAAAGGGAGTGGGAAGGGATAAACTGGGAGTTCAAGATTCGCAAATATTAATTACTGTACATAAAATAGATAAAAAAGAAATTTCTTCTGTATAGCACAGGGGGCTATATTCATATCTTATAGTAAACTATACTGAAAATGAATATATGTATGTATATGCATGATTGAAACATGCTGTACACCAGAAGTTGACACACTGTAGCTATATTTCAATCATAAAACAAAGCAAAACACTAATGACTTTAGAGATTCCCAGGGTTTTAAGAGCTATGTGCCAGAAAACGGAGATGGAGACCAGATAAACAAACATATTTCTCATTATAAATCACAGCATCACAGGTGACAAAAATGCCGTGAAGCTCAGTAAAGGCAGCGGCGCACAGCACTCAATGTACCAAGTGCCCATGGAGTAAGGTGAATTTCGTTGTGTATATTCTACTGTAACTTTAAAAAGTTAAATTAAAAAAGAACATTTTCCAGAAGATACATAAACGACCACAACTGGCTCAAGAAATCCAACCCTTCAATGTTTAGATTCAGCATTAGGAAATCTACTCATATAACCCAGGTTTTATAAATTGAAAGAGAAAAAACAAAATATGGAAAGGTGGATGCTGCTTTAACCGAAGAAAGTATCTCTGTCTCATTCCTATGGCTGCTGTGCTTAATGAGAAGACACGGAAAGCACTCCCATCGCGGTCCAGGAGATCAGTATGCAGATGCCCCCATGCACACTGTTCTGGGTGCTGCAGACTCAGAATCCTGATCAGGCAAGAGGAAAAAACTTGTAAGGTTCAAAAATGTGAAAAACATTGTCACCATTTGCAGAGGATATAACTGAACGCTTGGAAAGCTCAAGTGAGTAACATGAAAAATTCATCAACAATGAGAAAGTTAATCTGAAGATGTGAGTAGCTTTTGTCATGTATAAAGAAACAACCAGTTGGAGTATAATATGGATGAATGCCGTGTTTGTCCATATTATGGATTATGCCATTTCCAATAGCAGCAATAAATATAAAACACCTAGGAATAAATGTAATAAGACACATACAAGGTTTACATAAAGAAAATAAAACTTTCATTAGGGATGGACAAAAATGAAGGGAAAAAAGCCTGCCATATTTTCCAGTAGACTCCACATAATAAAATCAGTTTTCTCCTAATCTATAAATTTATACTGATCTCAATAAGAAAAATTGCATTTTTAAAGCAGACATTCTAATTCTAAAGTTCAGATAGAAAAAAAATGAGAACAGCCAAGAAAATCCTAAAAAATAAGAATGAAGAAGGACTAATTCTGCCAGATATTTAAAACCCATTTAAATCCTTAATGACTTAAAGCAGCATGGTACATTAAAAAAAAAGAAACAGCATGGTTAGAGAGATTAATGAGCTAGAAAAAAGTCCAAAATCAGATCCAAATAGAGGTGACAAACAAGGTGACAAAGGTGGCTTGACAGATTAGTGGTAAAGAGATAAAATAAGTTAATAAATGGTGTTTGAGTAACTGGATGATACTCTAGAAAGTAATGTGAAGTCACATGTTGCACTAGGAAGAATTCCACATGGGTCGTAACTAACATAAATATGCTAGAGGAAAATTATAGGAGATTCATGGCCTCAGAGGGGGAAGTCCTCTTTAAACCAGACACAAACGCACACATCTAAGGAGTAAGCAAAGTGAGCACCGCAAACGTACTGTGAAAACTCAAATGACAAAAGCAAAAATCTGTTCTCATCTCAGGTGTGGCAGGCAGAGCAACGGCCTCCCAGAGAGGCCCACATCCCAGTTCCCAGAAGCGTGAATCCGCTAGGTGACAGGTTAGGACACGCCTCTTCTCCCCACGCTGACTCCTGATCTCACGCACTCCCGGGACCAACCGCCCCTTCCACGTGGATGGATCTACCACACCCGTGATGCTTAGTTCTCAGCTTCCCATTTGACATTTTCTTACACTTCATTGTGTGTTGTAGACAATGTGTGTGGACAGGTTTTTGGTCTCATGTCACATTGTAACTGTGGATTTCATCAGGGAAGATTTTGGCCCCCAGGGGACATTTGGCAGTGTCTGGAGACATTCTGGCTGTCACGAGTGAGGGGAGGCATTACTGAGGGGCGTAATCTACAGAGTAGAGGCCAGGGAGGCTGCTAACACCCTACAAGGCACAGAATGACAAAGAATTATCCCACCCAGAATCCCAGCCCCACCGCTGGGGCTGAGAAGTTCCCCATCCGGAGCAGGAGCACCCCAGGTGGAGGGGACAGCCAGGGCAGAAGACCCGAGACAGGAACGTTTGACGTGTCAAAGCTGGGGTGGGTGTGGGCCTATTATCTGCTTTTGTGCTCCCACAGCAGAGCTGGGTGGTCGTGACAGAGTCCACACAGCTGGCAGAGTCTAGAATGTTTACTGTCCGGACCTTTAAAGAAGACATTTGCCAACCGCTATGTTAATGGAACAGCACAGAGGCTTGTGTGGCTGTAACCAAATCAGCAACACGGAGAGTGGCAGGAAGTGAAATCAGAGTGGACGCAGGCAAGAAGATTATACAGAGCAACACAGTGCAACAGAACTTCCCAGGATACCGAAAACGTTCCATTCTGCACTGCTACACAACGCCACTCAGCATCGGAAATGTGGCTAGGGTGACTGTGGAGTGGAACTTTACATTAAACAAAAATTTTAGTTAAAATTTAAATAGCACATGCAGCTGCGGTGTAGATATAGAGCCTACCGGGCCATGGTATGGATTTTGGATTTTCTCTTGAGTGAAATGGGAAGCTGTGGGCAGGTTTTGAGCAGAGATGTGCAACACCCTCACTGAAGTTTTGAGAAGGTCGCTGTGGCTGCTGTGTGGAGAAGGAACTGCAGGGTCAAGGGCAGAGACAGAGGCTACGGCAACAGTCCACACGGTGGACTACCAAAGGATGTGGGAGGCAGCAGCGGTGTTGGGGGAAGTGGTTCGATGTTTTGAGATGGTGCTAATGGGGTTGCTGACAGACTGAACAGGGGTGGGAGACAGAAAAGGCAAGGATGCTCCCACAGTTTTTGACTTGAGCAAGCAGAACAGAGCCCCCTGTTGTGAACGTGGAGAAGAAACGGGAAGAGCCTGTGTGTTAGGGAGGACCAAGGACTCCCTGTGGGACTGAAGTTCCAGGTGTCTGAACAACCAAGTGGGGTTAATAAGAATGACGGAAACATCCTCTATCCGCATTGTCCAGTACTGTAGCCACTAGCCACAGACAGCTACTTAGCACCTGAAACGTGGCAAGGGCAACCAAGGTACTGACATTTAAAATGTATTTAACTAATTCAGTTCAGTTTCCGTGGCACATGTGGCCAGTGGCTCCGTGTCCGCCAGCACAGGGATGAATGGTGTGCACAGCACGATCATGGAAGGGCCCTGGGGAATGGAACAGAGGAGAAGAGGCTCAAGTCTGAGCCCTGTGGTGCTCCAGCTCTCAGAGAAGGTGGGAGGGGCCAGCAAAGGAGGCTGAGCGTGGTCAGTGAGGTGGGCAAGAGCAGGAAGTAGCAGTGACCTAAGTACACACGCTGCTGACAAGCTAGGGACGATGATGGCTGAGACCGGACCTCTGAGTCTGGCAACTTGGAAGGCAAAGTTTTGAACTCAGAGGGCCCGCCTCCCCGCCAAGCAGCTGGACAGTTACCTGTGGTGGCTCCTCGCTTCCCACACTTGCCCCACTCTCCGGGGCATGGGCCTCCTGTGGCTAGTTTCTCCACCATCCAGGGCTCTTGGCCTTGCTCCAGGAAGGAAATCACAGCAGGTTTGGAAAAGGCAAGACCTGGATGTGAAGAAAAAAAAAATGCCACTTGGTTATGGCACGGGGCCCAAGAATTCAGATCCAGGGCCTGGTTATCGAGCAGGAGAGGCAGCTGCAGGAAGGGCAGGGGGAATACGTGAGTCACATGGCAGCTTCAGGCCATGGAGCTACCCCTTAACCACTCAGAAAGGACCCCTAAAATAACCAGGAAGAGACAGACGTGCCCAGCAGTAACCCCGCACTAACCGCCCACACGGCCTTACCCAGGGAGACCAGGTTGCCGTAGGTCTCCAGCATCACGTCTCGGTACAGGTCTCTCTGAGCCGGCGCCAGCCGTCCCCATTCTTCTTGGGAGAAGACTACAGCCACATCTCTGAACAAGTCTGACCCCTGGAACAACAGGGAGGTGTGTTTTATGTGTAGTTCAGGATGAGAGGAGATGGAGGAGGCCTCTGCAGGAAGCGGGTGTTCTGGTGAAAAAGAAGGCTGGGGCTGGAGGCCTTGGGTGTGAGCAGGGGACAGGAGAACATGGGCACCGGTGAAAGAGACGTTCAAATATTCCTGAACTTTCCTTTTTTACTACAAACCAAAGCTCCTGTGCACAGGCCTGGGAGAAAATTAAAACCGGGCCAGATGGAGTTTTCCCAGGTTCGACAGCGTCACCAAGCCCTGCCTCCCCCGTCCTTGGAATGTGGTAAAGGCTCTAGGTGACACCTGTCATATGTACTTTGATGGAGTAACAGACAACATCAAAACCCAACAATTTCTGGTAGACTTTTCTCAAAGTATTTTATTTAAAAAAATACTTTGTCTTAGAAAACAGGATTTTCATTTAAGTCAAGAATTGCTTCGGGGGGAGGGTGCGGCTCAGTGGTACCATGCACACGTAGCAGGCACAAGGTCCTAGGTTCAATCCCCAGTACCTCCAGTAAAAATAAATAAACCTAATTACCTCCCCCACGAAACAAACAAGAACTGCTTCAAGACACAGGCTCATCATTATGTGAAAACATATCACAGACAAATCTTGAAGATTACTTTTATTAGCTGTACAATTCTCTATCTAGTGAAAAAACGGACTCAACCATTCCCTTATTTTGGATGCAGAGGCTGCCAAGGTCAGATCTCTTGAGGCTCTTCCAAAACTACGACTGTGCAGATTCTGAACAATTTATTCATCTGATTATCCTACAATCCCCAACTCTGCCCTCCGCTTGCTCTTAAGCTGAAGAAGCCGATGGAGAATGACCCAGAGTCAAATGCTCTGTTCAGCCTCAAACTGGACCTTATCTCTGGCATCTGATCTCTCACAGATTCCCGGCTGAACTTCAATGACGTACTCCACTGTCCACGCAGGAGACGGTGCCCCGACACTGAAACTGAGACCCGCCAACACCAGCTCCCCTGCTTTTTCGTGTGTGGTCCCTCATCAGCGTTCATCTCCATTTCATCAAACCTCAGTTCCAGTAAGGGATGCCCTCACTTTATGTAAGGAAATGGATCTCCGCTCCCTCTGGCCTCCCAGCAGAATACCAGGCGGTCAGAAGACGTGGGGGCTGTAGCGGATGAATCCACGAGGGCACTGGTCAGACGGGCAGAGCTGCAGGAGAGGGTACGAGCTGCCTGGCCTTTCTATTCCCTAAAATGGGGACCTCTGGGAACCGGATTCTTGGATGGAACCCAGGTGGGAAGCTTCAGGATAAGGGAAGCAAATATTTACACGATTTTAAAACTCACGAGGGACATGACTTTCAGAATTTCGCGGGCTGATGGGTCTTGCTCCTGGATCCTCTCTTGGGGAAGGGCAGAGTCCTGAGATGGCAGAGCTGGGGGAGGAAAGAGCAAACACGAGAGGCCAGGCTTGCCTCAAAGCTCCCAGAAAGAGACCATTACAAATGCCCACCTCCTTTACCCAACAACCCCCAAAATTAGAGGGAGCTGGGACAAACTGTGGCCCTCACCCAACTCCAGGAAACTCAGCTCCCCCTTGTTACTGATGCAGATCTGAGAGGGAGATGCTCAGACCTGGTCCAGTGACTGAGACCACATGGTGTCCCAAGGACAAGGAAGGCTGTCCTCAGGTCAGGGAGCACAGTCGGCCTGACCTGCACCAGGCTAGCCCACAATGAAATCGTTCCAGAACCAAACCATTTAACTCTCTCATGCCCACAATATAACACCTTGGGAAGTCTCTCGGGCTCTTTACCTAATTTTCAAACTTAGAAGAACCCCACAATACCTAAGGCCTGGTGGACATGACTTTATGGATCCTGCCTTCAACAAATGGTTGCAGTAAGCAAATTAGATGGAGCAGGCCCAGTACCCCATTATCAAATCATAAATATGCCCCTGCCCAGAGACATAGCAGGGAACAAACCTGCATGCACAATATTCCTGAAAAATAGAACCAAAGATTAGTACCTAACAGTCCACAAGTTTGCAAGTTGAAGAATCGTTTTTGGCAGAGTCATATGATGGATGCCAAGCAACTATCAAAACTGAGGTGGAACAACATTAATTGACAAAGAAAGATATTCGCAACTGGACCCCTTGTACAACTAGAGAACATTCAGCAAGAGTTGAATCCACCAACCTGCTGACACACAGGCTAAAAAAAAAAAACCTTCAAAAACAAAAAACTGGATTGGAAAACATCCAAGTATTAAGAATGAAACCGGGGCGGGATGCATATAGCTCGATGGTAGAGCTCATGCTAAGCACGCACAAGGTCTTGGGTTCAATCCCCAGTACCTCCCTTAAAAAAAAAACAGATACCATTTAACCACTTACTGAATTCATCGTTAAACCAGTATTTTATAAAAGAGGTTAGGACAGTGCCTGGCATATTACAAATATTTAATTCTATGTGTAAATGAAATAATGACAAATGTTCCTTAACATCATGTAATAGGATTTTTTTCATGACCACTTTTTAAAAGCATTATTTGTATTAGCTATAAATATTCTATTACAGGGGTGGCCCGTGACTGACTCACTTTCCCATGGTTGGACAAATTTTGAATAAGATCCTCTAAAATGTTTCCAAATAGAAGTCGCGTCTTTTAAACTAGTGGTTCCAAAACTTCTGGGGTCCTACAACTCTTTGAGAGTCTCATAAAACAATATTTCATCACAGATTTGAGAAAACACACAGACACATAAGAATAAATGCAAAACAGCCACAAGCAGACATTTCCTGGGGGTCGGGACCCCCGACACACCCACCCAGGGGGTCCGTGGACCCGGGCTACGAGCCCCGACGCAGACAGGGGGCGCCAAAGGGCGCGCGCCGCGGGGGCCGACGGGAAACGTAGTCCGGAGCCGGAACAGCCGTTGACCGACGCCGAGGCGACACGTTCCGGTGCTTTCCAGGCCCGAGAGCCACCCGGCCGCGGCGCTCGCTCCCGCGCGGGCCCCGGAGCGTCTGGCAAGCTCCGGAGCCCCTCACCTGCGCCTTCTCCGATTCAGGTGTCCCCGCCGCCGAGCTCCCTGTACCCCTGGGTGCGCTTCCTCCTCGGTACCGGCAGACTCGGGAGCCGGAAGATGGCGCAGACGCACAAAGCCCCGCCGATGCCGCGTCGCGATTGGGCCGGCGCCGCAGTCGCTTCTGGGAAACGTAGTCTCCAGGCCTTAAGGCCGTTAACCGAACGGCAAGGCTGGATCTCGCGACGTTTCGGGTGGCCGGCGCGTGCGTGCGTGCGTGCGTGCGGGCTGCGCGGGAGACCGTCGAGGAGAGGACGCGGCTTTTTGGGTCCGGCGGGTCGCTGTGTGGAGGTCTGTACGCTCGGGCCGCTGTCCGCGCGGGATTGTCTCTGTGGTGCAGGTGAGTGGCCGTGACGTGTGTGCGGTGTTGGTTCTGACCGGGTGGTTGAGTGTGTGACCGGGACCGTTAGACGCCGGATACGCGCTTGTGGGCGGCTGTGTACAAGTGGCGTGTGAGAAGATGTTTCTCATCCGTTGTATCACCGCTGGCCCGGAGCAGCCGTTTTACCGGAAGGTTTGGAGGGAGGCAAAAGCCCGAGTTCACTTGGTAACTGATTTTAAACCCTTACGTGGAAATTACAGATTGTGGTGGATGCAAAATCAGTTCTGTATAGGAGTGGAATGTTCTAATATTAGCAGTCATAGTGACTGTATGTATATTCATCATAAGCCACTCACAGGCCAGTCACAATCGAAAAAAGAATCAGCAGAGATATTTTAAATGAGATATCAAGGGGTTTCTTGTGAGATGACGTCTCTTCGGCCAAGGCGTCTACCGCTACGGGTAGTTCAGCTGTGGTTTGTGGAAGCATGAGAAGCGTTGACTTTTACCCATCCCAGGGCAGCGTGGTCCAGTGTGTTCGGGAAACCAGTGTCCTGGCTGCTGGTCAGGACCTGTTGCACCCGGTCTGTGAATGAGGAAACCATCCCCTGTCCAAGGTGAACTCTGGCCCAGGGTCCGGAGCCCTTGTCTCTTGATTTGATCTTGTTTCCTTTAGTATATGTACTCTTGTGCATGCCTGCTTGGAACTTTTTTTTTCTGAGATTTGTGCATATCCGTGTTGTTGCGTATCTGAAGAATGTGTTGTTTTTTTTACAAATTAAGTTAGAGATTTAATTAAAACCCGAAAAAGATACCAATACTGTTTCTCCATTGGAAATAGACAAATTGATGCTAAAGTTCAAATGAAAAAAATAAACATGAAAGAATAGGGAAGAATACTCAGAGAAAGGAAAGTTATGATGTATGCTAACCGGATCAGATATTACAGTATTCTAAAAAGCTTCTGTAATTGTAACCGAGTGGTATTGGTTCACGAATTTTCAAGTAGAAGAGAACAGAAAGTCCAGACATGTCAAATACAGAGGGAAATCTGCCATATAATATAGGTGGCAAATCACTGGGATGAAAATATACTTTTTAATAAATAACCTTGGGGAATAATTGGATAGTCATTTGGAAAAAGATAATATTGTATTCATACCTCACATCATGTGAAAGAATAAACTCTAAACTGATCAGAGGTCTAAATTAAGCCATACAAATAGCAGACACGTACAGAGGTAAGTTCCATTACAGCATGATGTGTGGAAAGACTTTGTAATTACAACTTAAAAATCCAGACTAAATAAAAGACTGCTACACTTTTGCAGGGCAAAATACACCATGAGCAAAGGCAAAAGACAAATGACAAAATTTTTACAACTTTATGTATCTTAGATAAGGAGCTAATATTCCTAATATAGAAAGACAAAAGGCCAAACATGCAAGCAA